CTTTTGAAAAGCGTGTGCTACAATAAGGAGAGCTTGAATAGCTGGAAAATCTATAGTTGCACAAGATTCAGTCAAAGATCGGTCGACCATTAATTTGCTATGCAGTCATGACGTCTAGGAGCAGTATTCTATTTTAATGTATGTGTTCAAATATACAAACCTGGAAATTGCACTGTTTGTAGGTGACTAATGTATTCGTCCCATCCCTTTAGCAAACCGTACTGCAGCAGCATCTTAGAATATAGTTGCTAATATTTTGTAGCAAATGCTTTCTTTAAATTCTGCATTAACATTACCAGTTAATTTTACTCATCTGTTTTCCAAATGTACTTGTGTTGCTTTTTTTATTCGCATTTAACCTTCTCTGGCTTTAATAAATGCAAACACTTTAAATGAAGAGACTGCATAAAAATGTTTAAAGCAGTAGCAGTGCTAGTCTCAGTTAGTGCACCAGCATGATTATGGGTTGTTCTGGTCTCTAAGACGTAGTCTTCAAAGATGTGAGCTGCACTGCTGGCAATTCCCAAAGGACCTTGCCAGCAGGAAGGGAGATGCCTGGGAGGAGCATATGGAAGGAGCTGCTGCTGCTGAGGGTGCAGCATTCGCTCACGTCGCACTGATTCACCTCCGTTGAGCCGGGGGAGGACTTGGCCGTGGCTGTGCAAATCAGGATTGTGGCTGGCTCTTGCACGAGGCAGAGGAAGGCGCCTAGCGTTTGTGAAGCCAGATTTAGTCGTAAGCAAGAGCCGACTAGAAGGTCTGAGTAGGCAACATGTTTTATTCCTGTCCCACAAAAGTGGCCCAAAGTGTTTTATACTCTGCGTTGGGTTTCGAGGGCTTTCCATCCTTTCTGTGGGGAAAAGCATAGGTGGCAGCTTACTAGCACAGCAGGCGGTGGGCTTACTTGTGCTGAGCAGGCTGCTGGTGACCCCTCCCTCAATTTATGCCACGGACTTCATTCTGGATGTCCTACACTGCTCTTGAATGGTTTAGCCCTCAGCGGTTGGGTGTTTTGGAGTCGGTTTCTTCCGTTCCTATCTCCTTATGTAGAGTTAAATATTTCTTCAGGGTGGGTACTTGCTTCCATTCAGTAGTCACAGCATTGACTGGGAATTCAAGCTTTAAGGTGCTCGTCCAGTTAACGTTTATTTATATAAAGTGAAACATCTGTAGACAAGATGAAAAGAAAGCTAGTCTGGTATAGCCATTTACCCTGTAGCCGTGGCATTCTGCTGGGGTGACTGAAGCTCGGTCATCTGATTTGAATCAGTGGAAAGAAAAGTTTTGGTCCTTTATTGTAGGTAAATTTGGTGAGCATGTGGCAGTCGCCTCTTTGATCAGGGGTAGAAGAGGACCTATTCATAGAGTCCATTCAGTAGTCTTCTGTTCATTTGCACAGTACTTAATAATAAAGTTCATTCTTGCTGAAATTGGAACAGTGTTCCAGGACAGTAAGTCCTACACAGTAAGTGGCTTACAGTGGCAGACCAACAGTCAAGACTCAGGGTTACTATGCCTATCACATATGCCCCAAACATTCCCATATGTGATTTCAACAAATCAGAATTATATTAATTTTTCCTATGAAAAACTGCTTTATCAGAAAACTCCTTAAGTCACTGTAATAAGAAGTAAGGATTCAGTATATTGTGCATCACAATACTCTGTGTGAGGTATTTCCTTAAACAAAGTACAAAATAGTAAATGAAAACATTGCCTAGTAGTTCTCAATTTATCTAAGCTTATCTATCTGGTTGAAAGGAATTTCATATTTGGATAGATAGGCTACGTTACTTTGTTCATAGTAAAACCTCTTTTTAAACTATCTGAGAACTTGCTTACATTAAATGAACAAGTAATTATTGCATAATATTGTAAGTGGTTGTTAAAAAGCATCTTCAGAGCTGGCTTAGATCTGCCGATACGGAAGTTGGTAACACTGGAGAAGGGGTTAAGCCAGCCACCACTGAGCACTCCTGGCAGTCCTGCCCGTGCTTGTATAATGGAACTGAGGTTTGGTTAAACCCTGCAAGTAAATGCATATTGCTCCAAGGAGCGTGGAAACTTAATACACAAGAGCAACCCTTAAGGGATATGGCTACAGAATTACTGGGAGGCCTTACCGCAAGGAGAGAGGAATAACTACTCACAGGTTGTAATAATGATCCATTGGCCCTTGTGGAATTTAAGCACAGGCAGCAATGTGAGCTGGACCAGCCTGCTGTGATCCCCTCGAGCCTCTTCTGGTTGCACTCCAGTTGCTTCATCATTGGCCTAAGCTCGTGTTAAAATTCATTTGCAGCACGTATGTCTTAATATCAATGAGAAACTCTTCCCACAGACTCTAGGCTGAATCAAAGTTGACTGCAGCGCCCTCTCTCCTTTTCCTTCTGTGTGGAGAAGGAAAGGCTAGGCTAAACAAAAGTGTTTTTTTTCTCATTCACGCACATACCTTTTACTCACTTTCCTTGGGTTTCTCGCACTGTTTCCTATTCATTCTCCCCATCTCTCCTCTGAATACAGAACTACTGCTTCCTCAATGGCTTCCCCTTTTTTCCTCTCTCTTTTTTTTTTTATTTTATTTCTCATTCACATTCTCCTGTTGGGCACTTTCTTTCCGTCAGTCTCCACCGCTAATCCCCTTCTGTCTCTGCTCTTTGTTCTCCCTGTAGCTACCATCTTTCTTTCCTTCACTTTGTATTTCTTCTCTCTCCCATCTGTACAGACATCATTTCCACATATGACTGCTTTCCCTCAAGGCTCGTTTACCCTGTGACAGCTTGTATTGGGACTTTGGGGCTGATAGACTCTCTTCAAGGTGTTTTTGTGATCATGGGAACCCCAGAAAGATGGGGTTATCTTTTTTTCCCAAAATTAGCACTAGGTCACGTTCCTGGGTTCCCTCACTCATGTGCTTTCTTTTTATATATTTCCAGTCATTTAAATCTCTCTCTCATTCTTTCTCTCTTATGCTCTCTTTTTTTGAAATATGTATGTTGGATTTTAAGTTAATCTAAATTCTGGTACTTTCTGACTCAAGACCTTGGTGATTCATGGTTTTGATTTGTTTCTGTCCCTTTTTCTTCTCTGGCTTCACAACTTCAAAAAGAGCTGAAGTCCTCCTACTTTCCCCCAAATCTGCTCCCCTTTCTTCTTCTACCCTATTTTTCATATTCATATTGTGAACAAGAGCAATACATTGAGATGCTGAGTCTCCTTTATGTAGTGTCTTTACATCTTGTATCAACTATCTAATAAGCATGCTCTAAATACGTGGTCTGACATGTTGGAGTAAACTAGAAGTACATGGTAAAAAAGATGTAACCTATTGTCAAAACACACAAATGCTCTTTAGGCATTTCCTTTTTTGCCATGGATGTAATAATTATTTAAACAGTATTTACTGTTGTTTTAAAATAAACTATATTAAATGTTTCTGTAAATTGCAATTAATTGAATATATAATCTTTTTTTATATATTTGATGTTGCTACGCAAAAGTCTCTGTTTCTGTCAAATGTGCCTTCAGTGACCCTGATGGGCAACCCAGAAGAAATCTTATATTAAAGAAGAGCTGGAGCTGTCAAGTTTTTCTGGTTCATATGCTGTGTTTTGTATTCATGATTTAAATCAAAGAAGGCAACTTGCTATAAACCTTTACTGATCAATTACTGAAGGCACAGATAAAACTAGAATTTTAATTGTACTTCCTAATGATGATTGGGAAGCTCTAAGAAATTGGCTAATGGTTCTGAGAAAGAAGATGATTTTCTGTACATTATATCAAATCCTCCCTCCTGACCATGTTATGAAATCTCCTGAGATCGTTTTGGTAGGAAGCTGCCTTGTGCTGGTACATTTCTGCCTGTAATGATTTAGGTAGGAAAGCAGCTGCAAAAGCAAGTGGCATCAGCTGACGGAAAATGTTTCAAAACAGGATGCTTTGGCCAAGTTTCAAAATGCTATATAGTAGTATATACATTTATAGCAGTATATATGTTTTTTCTAAACTGCTCAAGTTAAAGGCCTAAATCTCTTGGGTGCTACGGCCACGTTTCTCCCTTGGGAAGTGTGGAGTGTTTCTTTTGTCACTTTGGACATTCTACAACACGGTTAAAACTGTCATCGGTTTACTTTAAGTAAAAGGTTGGGGGAAATTTTTAGTGTGTTTTTTTTTTTTAGATGATGCTATATAATATGCATTGGCAGAATACTTGCATATTGATATAGCTTAAAATTTTTAAGCGTTCATTTCACTGAAACCTGAGAAAACACTTGTGCACCTAAGTCCTATGATTTTCTCTGTGTGGCAAGATTTTTGGAACAAATTCACCGATGGTCAATTTTTTTGTTTGATTTACAGAATAAACTTCTGAAAAGAGTGGCATTACATTAGGCAGTGCTTATACAGATTGTAACAAGTGATCTATATGCGTTTGCTGTGGAACTCTACTTTTTTATTCATGCTGATGTTAGCTTCCAATTTGCTGTGGATTAATACTTAACCTGGGAGTTGTTTTTGAAAGAACAGCACCTTAATCTGTTTGTTTTGCTTCATTAGCGGTTTAAAGCTAAATCAACTGTAAATGCTATTAATTCCTTTGGAAAGAAACTAGTGACCTGTAAAATATGTTGATGTATGTACCTGGCAGCAGGTTTTATTATGAAGCATAGAAGTGTAATAATTTCAAGTGTGTTTAGCAATTTGGGGGAAGAGGGGGGAGGATATTTTATTTATGGTTTGTCTAGTTTGAGTATTTTTTTCTAAAAATAAAAAGAACTATAACGAATCACATAAAAGCCATTCAACTTATACAGCATTGACCTATAAAAAAGCTTCTTGACCTCTTTAGTGCAGGTGCTTTCACATTTGCATAAAATTAATGCCAGTGTATGTTGTCATGAAATCATTGGTTTTTATTTTACAGTACTGCTATTTACATTATTGTAGTAGCCTTCAATTAACAAACCTTAATAATACTAACTTCTGTTTCGTTTCAGTGCTAAGCCCAAAGGTAATAGGCATTGCCATAGCCAGGTATGACTTCTGTGCAAGAGACATGAGAGAGCTGTCCTTATTGAAAGGGGATGTTGTAAAAATTTATACAAAGATGAGTGCGAATGGCTGGTGGAGAGGTGAAGTAAATGGAAGGGTATGTTTTTTTTTCTTTTGTCTCATTTCTTTACTGCCTTCACTCACAGGGCTTTTGTAAAAAGGGGTGTTCCTGCATTGTAAGCTGCCTTACACTTAAATTCACAAGATGCAACATGTTCCTGTCTGTGTTTCGTAAGAGCCAAGCAGAGCTCCTGATCAGCTTTCCCAGCATCTTGCTGAATTGGATTAATTAATGCGACTAGCAGGCTGAATATTTGGATACGATTATTTGGTAGGAAAATAACCAGGCTGAACAGTAGAGCCACAGCTGAACTTTCTTCAACTGTATTACATACACATATTTGAGGTCGAAACCTCAGGAGCTGGTTGAGTTTGTGGTGCAGCCTGGCGATTTCCACACCTTCCTCTGCCAGGCTGCGTTGCAGCCGTGGTTTTTACAGAAGGCTACTCCTCTTGAGCTCTAAAAACTCACTTCAGATGAAGTGGCGTTTTTGGCAGGGATTTTTACAAGGTCACCTTACACTGTCCTGTGAGACTTGTGTAGTTTTGGTTGCATGGAAGTAAAGTTTCAATTTTGACCTCTAAAGCCTGTATTGTTTCAGTGTTACCCTGCCGCTCTTTAGCGCAGATGAGTCACAAGTACCGGGACTGCTGTCTCGGTGCAGAAGGGGTGAGATGAGGGGGGCACACGAGCTGCCCTGTTTCTCTCCTGCTTTACGAGCGGGGTGGAGGAAAGCAGATTCACTGGAAGCTGGAAATGGAAGTTGCAAATCTGGTTGAAGTAGATAGGGCAGGATATGTTCAGGTTTACTGCTTTATGCTATTTGGAGGACTTTTTTCTGTACATGGGCCTGTTTGTGATCTTACAGTGAAACAGTCACTTCAACAAGAATAGGGAAAAAGAAGAAATAATAATCATCCTATATACATTTTACCTGCGAATAAAACTGAGGGTATCGTTCTGATGTAGCTACCCACATCCTAAAGTACTGCCTGTTGTCAACTAGCTGTCTTTCTGATAGCTTACCTCAGACCTCTGGGGATGCTTTGGCGAGGTAGTCTAGTAAAACTTGCACAGTTTCTCCTTCCATTATGCTCTAGGTTTGGTTTTGGGGTCTTTCATCAGACCCCTAATTGATTTAGGAATAAAGGGACAGAGTAAAAAATACAAAGCAAATAGGTAAGACAATAAAAAATATGACTTTACTTCCCTATATATCTAATATCCTTATCTGACACATCAATAAATTCAGCATGGAGATAGCTTTATCACTTATAAAGTGTAACATGCTAGAATCTGCCTTCCAGTTCTCTTATTTAAAAATCTTGTTGGCCGCACTGAGATTTAACTGTATGCAATGCAGTAGTCACTATCCTCTTTGTAAGAGGGTTCCCTGGACCTGACTGAAGCCTGTGGAAAATTTAACTGCCCGTTCAGAAGACAGCAGCATCCTGCCTGCAGTAAAACTGTTTCTGCTCTTAGCTTTTTGAGCCTACCTTCTGAATGCCTAGATTTCTGATTTGAGCAAGAGGATTTTTATTATTACTTTTTTTTTAAGGTGAGGAAGGGATTTAGTCTGCACATCATCATATCTGTAATGTATCTTCTGTTAAGGGTAATTGCCCTAACTGCGGCAGGCCAGTTAAGTTTATCTTTAAATCTTATTCTTATATTTACTAAACAGACCCCTCCTTGTTTTACCTAGATTGGCTCTTTGAAAAACTGTGCATCTCATGTATTATTTTGTTCTGCTTTTTCCCTTTTTAGGTGGGCTGGTTTCCATCAACTTATGTTGAAGAGGATGAATGAATTAAAAACTTTCCTCTACTGACCAGCAATTTCAGGGATTATAGAATTTAATATCTGCAAAGTATTATTGGTCTTGTTAAGTATTTAAACAGCAGCATTTTTGTCTGTGTGAACCTTTCAGTCTTAGTGCTGGGATTTCTACAGAAGTTTGCGCTGACAGATTATTACCTTACCCAGAGCTGTGCAAGAAACAACCTGCCAGTTTGCCATCGCTGGGGATCAGTACAAAGTCCAACCCTTGCCTTCCCAGAAGATCTCTGGGAAACAAATTTCTTTCTGCTCCTTTTCATTTCACCCTGTAGTACGCCATGAATACTAGCTATGGCTGAATGTTTAATAAACCTCTTTCTTCTAGCTAACATCTGTGATGGTACGAGGAGATGAAGGCTTATTTTTCCTTATCACTGCATGCAGAAAATGGAGTTCAGTCATTCCAGTGTGCATAAAGTGTAGTCGGTAGACTTGTCTGGAAACATCAAACTACCTTACTTATCACCTTATAAACAGTTTTACACTCCCAAAAACATTCTGAAGGAAATGTAAATATGAGTAGCATTCATGCATATATAATTAGTTAACTAACTTCTTTGAGGACCTGCCTAAATTTTGTAAGGATTTGTTTAAAGACAGCATTTTAAAAAGGTGTAGTGATGTGGTATTGCTTGAAAGAGCATCCACAAAGTGGAATTGTGGGATTCTTTCTTTGTCATCCCAAAGCTTTTTTGTGCATGTTTCTTTTCGTGTGAGCAGCTGACGGTGAAAGTGCAACTGAGGATATTCATGGCAAGATGTGTTTTAAAAAGCTCTAGCATCTAGATGCTAAGCTCTAGCGTTAAATAAATATTGTAGTCCTGTTCTGTAACAGAGTATACTAGTGCAGCATCAGAGTGGCTATGAATATTGGTAGGATTTAACTTTGCAGCAAGAGTTTAGTTAGCAGCTTTTTTCAGGTGTTAACCAGAAAAAAGTTCTGTTTGTTCCTATGAGTGTATTGGATCTGCAGGTTCTGAAGAAGCAAATGGTGAAAGGTATTTGTAGAAAAAGTAAGATTTCTTTTTTAATTACATGTATTAATGTAGGCAAGGTGATGTCACTTCTCAAGTGTAAAACTGTATTTCGTATTTTAAGCCCTTCATTGATTCAGATGAACTTTTGGATGCTTTCAATTGTAAGCTGTCTTTTCTTAGACAGGACTTTCTATCACCTTTTGTGCACTTATAAGGTAATGCACAGGCAACCTGCAGGGTTTTGTTGTGTCCTTTCCTCTCTCCTTCCTTTTGACATTAATGGAAATCCAATGAGTGAGTGGTCTTGTTGCAGTGCTACAAATATCCCTAAGGAAAAATCTGTGTCCAGGCTAGCTAGCTTTAAACCAGCAGGGCTCGTAAAGCTGTTTCCCCACCTTGGTGAGGCAGAGTTTTAATACACGTGAAACGTCACAACTGCTGTAGTTACGAGCTAAAATAAATGTGGGTGATGTCTTCAGATGTGCAGTTTCTAATATTTAGATGTTTTCTAACTCAACTTATGAGAAACCAAAAAGCTTCTAACTGAATTTTTCCTCTAGGACAATGTTTTCCAACATGACCAATCAAGAAAGCAAATTCATCCTAGCCCATGTCCTCTCTGTTGCTTTTCCCTTCTCCTTTTCACATAGGCGTCTTGCCATTTGTGTGCATAGACACTGTGTGGGTTAGCACTGCCATTTTTTCCCACTCTGCAAGCAGAATAAGGTCCACTCTCCTTCCGCAGAGCAGAATCTGTGCTGATACGTATTTTGGCTTCCTTTTGACTGTTGCCAACATTTCTTGCTTCTTCTGGCCATGGGGAAGATCTAAGCACAGCCCAGAGGATTCACAGCAATCCGCTCCTCTCTGCAACCTTCTCGTCCACTGGCTGCACCCAGCGTACGCTGCTGTGTGACAGAGTGACAGAGGGGACCTGCTACTTAGAAGTCTTCCACTTGTGGGTGAGATTCAGCCTTGCAGATGAAACTCTGCTGATGTCTAATGTTTCACGGATTTACCTCAAAATTATGTAAACTGTGATTGTGTTGAGTACGTTACTTGATGGAACAGTTCAGAGCATTTGTAAATATGTAGATTATGCATAAAACATATTTTGTAAATGATGTGTACAGCAGTGTAGACTGGGGTATACTGTCTCTGATCATGTTTTCCCATGCAGTTTTATTGGCTTTTGTGGGCCTGGTCTCATCTCCTTAAGCAGACAGAGTTGATTCTTTCACAGTTTTGCCTGCTTAAGGGGTAGAGAATTAGGCCTTGGGTCTGTGAAGTGCTTAGTGCTTTGCTATCATATAGTTCTGAGAAGAAGCAGTTTAATTCAATACAAATTAAGAAATGCTTTGGTCATTTTGAGCAGCTTGTTTTTAGAATCATCCTAAAGTTGTTGTAAAGCTTTTTAAGCAGTTCCTGAGTCCAGCAGTCAACCTTGGGAAAGAATGAAAGGCATAGCTAAAGTTACTTTTATGGTATTCCTACACATCGTTGTCTGTGCTGTGCCCTGTATTGATTGAGTTAATGCTGCATCTTAAACTATATTTTGAGTACCAAAGATTTACTAAATATTCTGGAGTGTCTCTTTCATGTGCTGTTTTTGCCTGTATGGAGGATTTATTGTCATGTGAAGATGGAGTTACAGTACTTAAATTTGTAATATTATGTAAATATGTTAAATAAAATAAACTGATTACTTTTTTGTTTAATAGCACGTGTCAAAATGTGTGTTTGGCTAGTATGAAGGTTCTGCTTTGTTTCTCTGAGCCCCTTCTCACTGCGAACGGGAGTTGATAAGGTTCTGTTTTGGTTTTCCCACATTTCTATAATCCTTGTGTAACTATGAGACTGAGCTGTCATCTGTCACTGTAAATGGGACAGTATAGCTCTTCTTGAGAGCTTTTTATTGTTAGATATCTTAATTTATTCTCCTGCCACATCTAAGAAAATGTTGTTGTTACTGTTGTTGTGTTTGGGTGTTTTTCTCCCAGCTATAGATATTGGAATCAGATTCATATATTATTGATTGTTATCTGTCAAAGATGCTTGTAGTTTTTGATTGAGCAAGTTTTAAAAAAATTGTCATGTTTCCTACCTATGTACTTCCTCTTTTACCTTCTGCTTTCCCCTTCTGTCATATGTGAGTTAACATACAAGTTCACACTGAATTGAGCTCAAATCTGAAAATACAGTCTGTACTGGGTTTCATGGGCTACTTAACCTTTTCATAGTGTAACCCATTCATGCGTTTTTTTATAATGCAACCTTTGATATGTTTATTAAAATATATCTGGACAGGTGAAATTAATTCAGCAAGGTCAGTGATGGTACAGCTGCAATGTTGTTTCCTTGTGTCACTCCTGTTTTTCAGTAGCAAAGCTTTTCTTGTGGAACCCCCTTTAACAGGTAATCATTGAACTTAATGAGGCATTTACACATCTCTACAGATGTAAGGCGTAATTTTCCTGTCACCCATGAACGTATCATATAACCAGGAGTTACACCTAACATGAGATGCAAAAATGTTTCTCAATTAAATTCTCTCATTAACAATGTCACACTCGGTCGCAGACATTCTCTGTCCTCTTATGTATAAGAAGAGATGTTTGCCCTCTGATGGGTGAGAAGTTGAGAAAGCACCGTAATTAAGGCATAAGAACCACTTGTGTTTGGGTTCCGAATAATCTGTTCAGTTGTAAGGCCTAGAAGCTTAGCTGAAAATGTCAGCTTGAAAAAAACCTAACTTCAACGACGACAGTTATGCCAACCAGGTTACCTTTCTGCTCTGCCTCGCAGGCAAACACTAGATGCTCTCTGAAGGAGACGGTAAGGTCGATTCTCAAGGTTTGACTAGTTCATAAATATAAGAGAGATGCTGTCTAGAAAAAAGCGGAGTGAATTTGTACAAAATACCATATCTCAGAACTAGTTTTTGTTCCATTGGCTTTGATACTCAGTGCAGAAATGGTCTTGTTTCTAATTCACAATGAATATAGCCAGTGTTTTGAAAAACGAGCTGGAACTGCATGTGTAATATATGCTCTATCATACATGGTTTTACCTACTGTATCACTGCTATGGTAAACTAACTCGTCTCTGCTGCAAACCAAGCTGTCCAGAGCCTCATGTTACCATTTGATCTGCAATTCACCCTCTTCAGTTCTGAGAGCACTGCTGCTTCCATTTGAGCAAGGATCACTGCAAGCTGTTTAATTTGCAATACAGGGTTGAACATCACTATCGTACTTGTATAATACTCTTTAGCCAGATTATGACAGTCATGTTACAAGGCAGGTATAAAGGTAAAACGACAGGTGAGAGCTGAAGATGCTGTGTATGCATTAATCCACAGTGCGTTAGCAAGCCAGAAGAGTGTCCGTTTTCATCAGCTTCTGCTGGGGTCGTCACTGGCACCCAACCTTGAATCTTTTGAGCTATTCATTTAAGAGAAAAGTTCACCAGCTTTTCCTGAGTTGCGTCATGGAATTTTAGCTTCCGCCTCGATGTCCGTTTTAGAGGGGAAGGTGTAGTTTTGAGTCATTTTGACTTCATGAAGCTGTGAGATGAGATGTTAACGAAATGTACTTTTTCATAAAATGCTGAAATGTATGATGAATATGTAATTAGGTAACAGAACTGTAGAAAGGATTAAGCATCAGAAATTGACTGCGGAAGAGTGATTCACCGCATTATCTTAGCAACTTCCTTTTCAAGAACAAAGAACCATTTGTTTTTATAGCAAATGAGATTGGAGTTTCTAATTTAGTTTTATAATTCCTGATCAGCTGTAGTGTATTCTAGCCATTCATTATAAGGATCTCTGCTGCTTGTGTGATTGTAATGTTAGATTTTATTTAATAAGCCTTCTGAAACGTTTGAGTTACTGTTGACTTTTGTGGGGGGTATTAAAGGTTTTTTGCATTGTAATATGCTTTTCAGAAACTCTGAGTTCATTTTAAAATGTTGTAGTCTGACCTTAATTACCTAGTTAAAAGAAATGGCGGGTTAAGAGGTGGCTGTTTGCCAAGAGGAAAGAGGCTTTTTTGCTTCTTCCAAAACTCTGTTTATGTTAATACTGTGAGGGCAAACTGTGGCTTTAGGAAGAACAGAAAAAAAGAAGATCAGAGAGCTAGAAATAAAAAGTTGATATCATACTATTTGTGTCAGAAACAACCTGATGTCTGGTAACTTTTGTGAAACTTGGGCCAAGATGCCAAATGCCTAATGATAGCATTGGATCGGAAAGAAATTCTTTAATGCTTCTGCATGGGAAAACTTTGCTAATGCAGGTAGAGGGTTCAAGGACCTTGGACTTGGTCCCAGCCCTACTAGAGAACTCTGTAAATCTGTCTTCAGTTAGTTTTATTTTTTTCCCAAGGTAGTTTAAAGTTTTCCTCAAAGAGATGCAATGTTATTCCTAGGATTTTAATCCTTATCCACCTATAAGGCTAAGAGCAACGTGTACAATCAAAGGAACGTTTTTTCTTAGGAATTTTACAGTCAATGTCCCGTTAGCTGTCAGCTATTTACAGTGTGCAGTGTACCAGGAGCCCCCCTCTCCGCTAAGTTGCTGGGTGATGTACAAACACTTTTCTTACCTGTTCTCCCAGTTTACTTCCCTTTGTGAATTTTGAGTTTATTTTCCCTTCTCATTCAGTGTGCTATTTAAAGTTGATTTCACAGAATGATAGTCAGTTGAATACTGTCTGAGCACAGTGGTTTGCCTGGCAGCTTTCTCTCCTCCTTCCTGTGCGTTTGCCTCATCGCTGCTTGAGACAGACTCTGAATGGCTTTAAGGAGGGCACACAGAAACTTTTGATGTAAAATAAGAGAGAGAAACACATACCTCAGAGGTGTTTTTGGGCTAGAGAAATTGCAAAAGTTTAGTGCAAGATCTACAGAATCTGGTATTAAAAATCAGACATCAGCTATGATCTCTACCAAGAATAACTGCAAGGGCTGGATGGTATCTCGGGAGGGCTCACTGAGTGGTGTGGACTGTGGTGGGGATGAGCTACCGCTGAGCAGTGAGGGTGAGGCTTTCTTTATTCAGAAATCATGGAGTCTTCCTATTTGTTTTATTGTGGCTAGGTAATAACTCACTGCTTTCTGTAACGCTAAAATTCAGGTTGAATAGCGACGATGCTCTGTCCGTGCCTGGTTTCTCTGCTTCCATGGGAGATATGTTTGCCCTTGTACCAGGAACAAAGGAGGTTTTTATGCTCTAGATTTGGTGCATCTCTGAATATAGCTTCATTAAGCTTGCACTGCTTTGTCTTTGTGACGAATGAAAGATTAAACTCCCGGGAACTGGGTGTTCTGTAGTGTTCTGGGTGTGACTCTCAGGTGTCATCTAATTTGAATGTTTTGGCTGAACATACTGTGCTCTGAAAGGGAGCTTTGTTCTCTCTTCCTTTTCTCTTTTTTTTTAATCAGAAAGGCTGTTACAAAATTTAGCTGAGGTGTGGTGTGAGTTAACATGCCCGGTTCCAAAAGTATATGGACTCAAAAGTATATTGTTGGGAATTTTATCAATGGTCGAAAAATACAGGTGTATCATAAAAGCAATCATGCCTGATGATTTCGTGGTGCAGGGAAGGGTGTTAATAGTCATTGTTATTGCTGAGGGCAGGCAGGGCTCGGAGGTTGGACTTTTGCTATATTCCCAAGAACGGTTCCAAATGGAGGACGCGATAGCCATTTTTTGTATTCATATTTTATTTACAAAAGAGAGATTTATAATTTTTACAATTATGTAACCGTGTAAATACATTCAGTGAGATCAGGTAAAGATAGGAATTGTAAGACTAAGGTGCTGATTACCCACCAAATTAGTATGTTGTTGTGACTTTTTCCCAGATAGCGAGTAGTGGAAAATCAGGCCCCAGGAATCCAAACAAAATCTAGGCCCTGCTTTTCAGACTCTCTGGTTCATGCTTTGGGGATGCACACCCTTTTTTCTGCATCCCCCTGGATATGGGAATGCAGGCTGAGTCTGCCTGTTACCAGAGTCAGATCATGATTCCTCAGGATCATACAATCCTTAGTAACACTAGATCCGCAAAAAGCCTTTTTATCTTTTATATCTTTTGAAGCATGCTAGTAAACACTCATACAAATATGCAAAGGATTTCTACAGAAAATATTGCCTGTCACAGTGTTTCTTCTGCCTCCTACTGTAAAGATTTGCATGGTTTTGGAAAAAACAGCGAGCTTCCAAAAAGTAATGATTCCCTGCTTGCACAGTCTTCACTTGCAAATCTCTGAGAATCTCAATCTGTGTTTAGGGAGTGAGAGTTTATTTCCCCCCCCGGCCGGGGCTGGGCAGTTCCCCGTGGGTTTTGAACCACTGTAGGAATGGATGAATGACTCGATCTTGTCTAGAATTTTTAAGCTGTGAGATGACTCCCTGATTGAATCCTATCATTTGAGCAAGGCCCGTTGCTAGATGCCCTTTTTAAAGGTGATATTCCCCTAACAAACACATTCTCCACAAACAAGCACTACTTTTACTTTACGTTTATAAACTTTGCAGATGATGTCATGCAAGTACAGGCTGTGAACAGCCTGGAGGATAGATTGTAACTTACACAGATACTGATAAATTAGAACAGTGATTTACCAAGGGGGAAAAAGAAAAGCAATTAAATAAGACATCTGTGAAGTTATATTTACAGGTGGAAAGAACTGTCTACGCCAGTTCAGACTGGGGGAGCAGCAGTACTGTAATAAAAGAGGGAGGAGAGCAATGGAGGACCACGTGCAGAACATACATCAACAATATTGTACTGTGAAGAAGGCAAATACTGACTTGGTTTGCAGTAACAGGAATATCTGTAAAACATGAAGTAATCCTTTACCTCAGTACTGGTAAGTCTTCAGCTGGCATACTTTGTCCAGTTTTTGGCACTAAGC